TACAGATTTTTAGATAGAAATACAGATATGGAGAAAGGTATAGACGTTGAGAAAACAATGGATAGATACGGAATTTGAAACGTAGATACAATAGATATTTGCTTCATCACAGTTTGATAATCAAGATGACTCTTAAGCTGTTTATTGACGGAAATATTAATACAATACAGTGAAGCCTGCTTATAGTTGAAAGCTTACAAAATCCCACGCTAAAATGAGCTAAAGAGCATTTTAAGAGCATTTTCTATATAAAATTTACATTATTTTTGTATGCTTTCTTGTAATAAGCAAGCATTGACTTCAGATAAAGCTAAATAAATATATATTAATCAGAAATATATTTTGAATGCTGCAAACAGCGTATGGCGAGGTCGGTTATGCCCGACCGTTGTCTTGCTGCAATTGTTTTCCGTTGTTTCGTTGGCTGCAAATGTCTCTCTCACCTGTACACTGAATCATCGTAGACAAGCAGAATGCGCAGCGGTTGATCGGCCACAAGGCTGCGCCGTCGCACGCTGTGCGCCGCCTGGTTTCCGTTGCCGTTCCAGTTCCCCTCGGAGTGCTCGCCGGCGACGTCATCGACAGCTTCGGTATCATCGTGTATGCGCACACCGTGGATGACCTGCAAAGGGAAGGGCGGGAGGGGCGGATGAGAAATTCGGCTCTGCTTTAAAATGTCTGCTAAACGAAAGCGAAAATGTGGCCAGCAATTAGATGACGACATGGACACAAAAGGCCACACACAAAGGCAGCTGTAATTGGCTACCTTTTTCTCTTTTTTGCTTTTTTTTGTAATTTTTTTATTTTTGGTGGATAAATTGCAGTGAAATTAATTTTTAAATTACCCGCCAAAATGTCGAACTGATTGAGACATCAAAATGTCAATGATTTGTGGCTTTTTGGCCAATTGGGTTTGCTAATTCACATTTGTTATTTTATTGTCGTTTTTTCTTCTTTTTTTTTTGCATTATAGTCAGCCTTTGTTTCGGCTATTGTGCAATGTGTGCCAATTATAGTGCATAAATTAGACCCTGTTGAATATTCAAAAGACCATGTCCAACCATTTAGACTGCTTATCTATTATAGTTTATGGTTGGTCGACCGGCCAATAGCACGAGCAACGCCTATGCTCACAAATTTGACAAGCGCATCTTTCAGATGCGGCTGAGTGCTCTAGTTTAAGGGTGTACGACCAACAGATACTCTGTTTGCCCGAAACATACGCACAGAGATAAAAGCACAGGTAGAAGATAAGAAATATATAATACATAATATATACAGACATCTACATATATAACAAGTAAGAAGGCTCCAGTCGAGACTGCTCGACTAGGAGATACCCTGAACCCTCTAAGCTGATATTCTAATCATTCTGCACTTCTTTTATGCACACATATATATGTACATACACATGCATTCACACGCACGCATAAGCCTGCGCTCTGCTAACTGCGCAGTAAGCAGCGACTGCGCTTGGGCTGCGCTGCAGTGTGGGCAATATTATGAGAATTTATTTGTTGAATAATTTCTTTTGTAGACATAGGATCTTAATAAAACTTTCAGAGCGTATTCATATGGTGAATATGTGTGTACATTCCAAAGCACAAGTCTCTAGTACTTGAAATGCGTTTTTTAAAAAATTGGGGGGAAAGGAGGCGTGGTATCCAAAATCTGTAAATTACAAAATCTTTGTATCGATTACCTTTATATACAACGCAAATTTGAAGACTCCAGGTCTAAAAATGTTCAAATTAGGCTGAAAAAACAATGCCGATTTTTCGATTATTCTCGATAAAAAAGTTATCGGATGAATTATCGAAAAAATAAAGCAAACTCGTACTGCGTATGGTACACACGAGTATGCATTTTCAATTTCAGCTTTCTAGCTCTTATAACTTCTGAGATCGACGCACTCATACGGACGGACAGACGGACAGGGCTATATCGACTCAGCTCATCGCGCTGATCAAGAATATATATACTTTGTGGGGTCTGCCACGCCTCCTTCTGCCCGTTACATACTTTTTCACAAAACCATTATACCCTGATTTCCCATTTTCAATGGGTTCAGGGTATAAAAAATAAAGATAGAGACACGACTCCTGAGTATTTTTATAATGCGTAAAATTGCAAATCATTTCACAATCAAGATAGTAAGTCGATATTTATCGCTCATGGTGCTCTAGAATTCATCGACAGCTATCATAGAACTGAAAATGCCAGTTAGGCAAGCTCATTATCTTCAAACTCTACAGGGTATAGCAAATGAATTACATGTCCAGGGAATCCAAGACCTCGGCAATGAAGATCGAAAGTTAGTTCACTCTCAACCACAAGCAAAAACAAAAGTGAATAGAGGTAAATCCAGCTTGCACATGCTATAAACCCATTTACCTGTTTGCTCGTATATACAATATAATGAAGTGCGCGCTGCGAGCAATATGCACTCTCAAATCTGAATAATCATTAGCGATGTTAACAAGACTATATTCATTCCGATTCGCCAATTACTTTAATGCCACAATTTGTAGCTGATGAATTGGTCGTGAGAATCGATTCGAACCGGTGTGAATTTGTAATGCCGTTAAATGGCAAAAACCCAAACACCTGCACAATCTGCATAGCCACTAAGAAAAGCTGCTTTGGGGAAATACCGACCAAGAATGCATACTCAACCATTTTACAAAACCATTCGTTTCTGTTTTATTGCTCTTAAGGAAAGTTATACGACATAGTTCCATAGATATTGATAAATTCTAACGCAAGTGTTTAGATTGGTTAGCAGATGCATATATAAATATATATACAAAGTTTTATGTGAATAGCTTCAGAATGTGCCCACAGAAGAGGCAATAAATGTATAATGTCCTCTGTAAGTGTATGAACACCATTTAAGCTTATGTAAACATACTTAAATGTGTATATATATCCATTTACTTGAACGATCTCGACAACAATAACAGCAATTTATCTATATTTGTCTATTCAGCAACAAAGGAACGATCACCAAGAAGAAGAAGAAGAAAGAGAACGAGACAACAAATAGCGACGCAGTGTAGTGGAGAGGTACTAAGTACGATCATTGCAGACGGGTATATATGGCTGCAAGTTGCACTATAATTGTAATATTGCTCAAATTTATTATTTCGACTCCAACTTAAAAGCTCTGCTATAGACTTCTATAACTCAATTCTTAATATGTAAAATAGTAGAAGTTATTGGCTTGTCCTTGGCATTTCTATCAGAATAGAAAATCGAATATACTCTTTTCGCCATGCAAGCGAGTATGCACAAATGCTGAATGTATGAAAACCATTAAGATAACAAAAGAACAAACTTTGCAATAAGCGTCAACAGCTAAAATCGTGACGGCCTCAACAATTGAACAGCCGCTTGCATGATCTTCAATCAAAGAGGCTGCTCGAGCCCCACTCGCCTTCCCGCCTTCGTCATGCAGAGACTCAATATGGTGTTTCATTTTGTGGTTTGCGCACTGCGAATTGTGTTGCATCGAAATGCGTTTAGCTGCTTTCAATCTTGCAAATTGCGGCATTCACCAGGTGAAAGATGAGCCGCAGCACCTGACGCACAATGCGCTTGGTAGTTGATGGCAAGCGGTGCCACAACGACCCAGCTGTGCAACATGTGGCAAGTTTATAGCGCCAGTGTCGATGCCATGCCGCAAGCCAACAACCGTATTTCAATCAACGCACAGTGGTACAAAACTAGTTTTGAATAGTACAAAATAAACAATATCATTTAATTACTTACATTTAATTATATGATATGACCTCCCCTATTTACAATTATATGAGGAAGTATACGAATCTCAACCACAGCTGTCTCTTTTTGGTATTTCGAGTTCCTATTTATTGATTATTTTATTACTTACTTAATACTTTGTTAATCTGACGAAAGAAAAAAGTCTATTTATTTTTTATTCATCTTGCCCCACTGTTTCTCAATTTTTTCGAATGTTGCAACAATAGGAACCGTGACAGACTTTGCAATTCATCCAACATTAGCTTTGACTTTTCAATATTATTGACAGAAACATTGAAAATATTCACCTATTGAAAAGTTATCAATATCGAGAAAATATTTTCAAATGTTGCAATTGAAATGAATAAAATTTATATTTTCTTTAAAGTTACAATGTATTTGTATGGATGGGCACGCACCTTCACAACACAATGGGACGATAATAAGTCTTAAGTCATTGTGAAACAAGCTTCAATTATTAAGGAAGAGCATAGTAATCAAATTAAATATTAATACTTCTTACAAGACTTTTAAATATATTCAATTATTTTTATACCCTATCAATGGGAAATCAGGGTATAATGGTATTGTGAAATGTACCACAAAGTATGTATATATATTCTTGATCAGGGTGACGAGCTGAGTCGACTTGGCCTTGTCCGTCCGTCTGTTCGTCTGTCCGTATGTATGAACGCGTCGATTTTAGAATTTCAAATTTTTTTTAAATGTTCGTATTTACAGCGCTGATATCGAGTTTATCATTAAATATCGATAACTGATCCCGATCTTTTTTTTTTATCGATAAAACCCTTATCGAAAACCAGTTATAAAATTATATCTTCTACACCTTTATTGCTAGTCTCCAAATTTTTAATGTATGCTTATATGAAATTTATGCAATTTCGGTTTTTGTTAAAATTTACCCCCACCTCTATATCCACCCCCTCACCCTCATGTTTGTAAAAAGCGTATTTCAAAAACTAGAGACTTGTGCTTTAGCAAATACATGCATATTCATATTATAATCATAGTCTGAAAGTTTCATGAAGATCGTATGTGTACAAAAAAGGTTATTAAATAATTAAGTTCTCATAGTAAGGGCACACTGCAGCCCATGCGCGTTTATGCGTGGGTGCTTGTGTGTGTATGAGTTTGTGTACGTGTGTGTGTAAATGTTTGTGTATGTGTGTGTGTATGTGTGTGAGTGTGTGTGTGTATGCGTGTGTGTGTATGTGCGTGTTTCTTGTGTAAGCTGAAAGACGCGATAGCTATTGCTCCAAATGTGTTTTTGTATGTGTCTATAAAAGAAGCGCAGAATGATTGGAATATCACTTCTTTGCAGCGTTCAGGGTATCTCCCAGTCGAGTAGTTTCGAATACTGCTTTTAACTGATGAATTTAATGACTTTTTAATATACATAAAATTTGTAAGCTAATGCTGATCCCTAGACCAATCGACTATGGAAATGGAAACAGAACTAATATTTCGTTCGGTTTGTCAACATGGGATGTGCATTTATCGTAGTATTTCTCATACAAATGAGTTTGGTAAGCTGACAGAATCCCATCTATAGTATCCTTATGGAACCACTTTTTCTATTGTATATAAAGGTGGGAAGTTTTTTTAAATTTCTGAATGTAGAGTGCGACATCATGGATCCACAAATTATAGCTACAGAAGAATGCCGTATAAGAGCCTTCAATCGCTCTGAAAATTACTTAAATATTATAGCCAATTTGGAGCAAAGAGTCACAAAAGTAAGCAAATTCACTTCAAATATCAATTCTATTCACATAAATATTTCATCTTTTTTCCAGCTCAAAGTTTCATTTCGATTTATTAAGCGCGAACGGGGAGGTTGACATCCGTTCCTATATGCAATGAGCGTTGATGTGTGTAAATTCTTTGACGGCTCCTTTAAAAATCCGTTGACCACGATAATCTACGATTATTTAGTGGCGTACACGAATCTCAATCATAGCTGTCCCTATTTGGTATTTCGAACAATTATTTAAACCTACTCTGCTTCTTTTAAATGCAGTCTATTTTGTTTAGAAAAATTCCTATCTCAAATTACTTCGACTCAATCTAAATGAACTGGATATACTTAGTCGATTTCCACTCGAAGAAGGTGTATATGGTGCTCAATCATCGTGGTACAGCAATAACAAATTGATCCTTCATCTGAATGGGTTGGCGTCTTTAACTAAGTCTTACAAAAAGCATTAACAATATAGTTAAGTATGAAAATTGTATATACCACTTTTCATAAGTATTTAAACAGAATTCAAAATATTTTTTGCAGAATGCAGATACCGAAGACCTTGGCTAATGTTGTATATTGTTCTGCAGACGGCAAACAGTATATACATCTTGATAAGAATAACTAGCTTGGTCAAATTAATTACAAAAAATGTTTTTTATGTGTCTATATAAATAAATTTGTATACCCTGAAATCAGTGTATATTTTTCTGAAAATCTATGCAAAGGCTACAGCAGGCGTGACAGACTCCATAAAGTATATATATTTTTGCGACGCGCTGAATCGATATAGCCACGTCCGCCCGTTGATATGAAATTTTGCATGTATACCATACGCAGTACAATTTATCATAACTTTTCAAGAACTTATCCGATTTCCTTGATAAAGGAATTTAGTTTTTTAGCGTAATTTTAATACGTTTAAACCTGGAGACTTCAGATTTACTGTGTATATACATTTGATATGATATGATATGAAAATTATGTAATTTACGCATTTTAAGTACTACTATTCAACAACAAAAATTTCATATTATAGTCCACACCGCAGCTCAAGCGCAGTCGGTGCTTACTGCGCATAAAAGAAGCGCAGAATGATTGGAATATCACTTCTTTGCAGCGTTCAGGGTATCTCCCAGTCGAGTAGTTTCGAATACTGCTTTTAACTGATGAATTTAATGACTTTTTAATATACATAAAATTTATAAGCTAATGCTGATCCCTAGACCAATCGACTATGGAAATGGAAACAGAAGTAATATTTCGTTCGGTTTGTCAACATGGGATGTGCATTTATCGTAGTATTTCTCATACAAATGAGTTTGGTAAGCAGACAGAATCCCATCTATAGTATCCTTATGGAACCACTTTTTCTATTGTATATAAAGGTGGGAAGTTTTTTTAAATTTCTGAATGTAGAGTGCGACATCATGGATCCACAAATTATAGCTACAGAAGAATGCCGTATAAGAGCCTTCAATCGCTCTGAAAATTACTTAAATATTATAGCCAATTTGGAGCAGGGAGTCACAAAAGTAAGCAAATTCACTTCAAATATCCATTCTATTCATATAAATATTTCATCTTTTTTCCAGCTCAAAGTTTCATTTCGATTTATTAAGCGCGAACGGGGAGGTTGGCATCCGTTCCTATATGCAATGAGCGTTGATGTGTGTAAATTCTTTGACGGCTCCTTTAAAAATCCGTTGACCACGATAATCTACGATTATTTAGTGGCGTACACGAATCTCAATCATAGCTGTCCCTATTTGGTATTTCGAACAATTATTTAAACCTACTCTGCTTCTTTTAAATGCAGTCTATTTTGTTTAGAAAAATTCCAATCTCAAATTACTTCGACTCAATCTAAATGAACTGGATATACTTAGTCGATTTCCACTCGAAGAAGGTATATATGGTATTCAATCATCGTGGTACAGCAACAACAAATTGATCCTTCATCTGAATGTCTCAGCATCTTTAACAAAGTCTTACAAAAAGCATTAACAATATAATTAAGTATAAACAAAAATTTAATATACTATTTCTATTTTATATATTTAAACACAGTTTAAATTGTTTTTTAGTGAATACAGATTGCGAAGACCTTGGCTAATACCGTATATTGTACTGCAGACTGCAAAAATTATATATCTACGTCTTGATATGAATAACTAGCATGGTCAAATTACCTACAAAAAAAAGTTTTATTTCTGTGTTTATATAAATAAATTTTTGTATTATTTTAATCTGCATCTTGCCCCACTGTTTCACAGACTTTTCGAATGTTGCAACAATAGAAACTGTGATAGGCTTTGCCATTCAGCGAACAACAGCTGCGAAAACAGCTTTATTGAAGACTTTTCAAAATAATTGACAAACACTAAGTATGTTTATGAATAAATAAGTATATATGTACATATATTTTCATTTATTAATACGCAAAAAAAATAAAATTCAGTCGTAACTGAAAGTTCATTAAACAAGTTATCAAACCTGTGTGACAAAAATAAATATGACTTCAAATGTTCAATATTTAGAGACTGCATTTGGCTTTCAATTCTTATGCATTATTCAAATATTTACAAGTGCACACACACACCCACATATTCATACACACACCAACGGAATATTTCTTTTTTGATTGGATTAAGTTTTATTTATCATCAAACGTAAATTTATTTGACTTGTATTAAATTCATTAAATTTAAATTTAATTCGTTTATTAACAAAGAAACTCCAGAGATGAGAAAGGGGTCATCAGGTGAGGGGTACTGGAATTACCGAGATCACGCTGTGATTAGCTGTTTATAGCATATTTTAATGTACATAAATATTATTTAGAGGGACACAAGATCTTATTTCTTATGACGTCAATGAAATACCTTGCTCAGCTTCAGATTTATTAGTTTGACAATTGGCTACTAAATCCTGTTAGTTGAAGTCAATGACCTCTATAGAGACGAGCAAATAAATTAGTCACAGACTTTGTAATATATATATATTAATACATATGCCTTTAAGTCTTGCCTGACTTTGCTATCAATTTGACATTCTAATATAATTTCACTAACAAATTTAGAGACCCTTTGTAAACTTATCAAGAATTCCAAAAGGTATACGACATTAAACGAATATGAATCATATTCCGATTTAACATTTTATAAACTGGATTTAATAGAATCAGGTTGGTCGTTATATATTTTGGGAAATTGTAATTAGCTGATTAGTACCCCCAAGCCATAATATCAATACAAATACTACATATTAAATATTAATTATTTTTATATATATGACTCAAACACTTTATGAGATTGAGATCTAAAAATATTTATATAGCTGCTCCTAAAGCATAAAGCGCTAATGAGTATATAATTTGTTTGCTTGTACTCCGCTCAACTGCGGCTTTTACACACACTATCAAGCCGATCTCATTTACCATTTACATAAATATATTAGAAGAGAAAAAAAGTTGAGATGAAAAGAAGATGAATGATTATGGAATGGGTGCAGGAGCAGCCGCCACACTTTCTAACCACAGCAAATATGCTTATTCAATCTGAGATAAGACGTAATGCTCAAGTAGTTCACAAATTGCGACTGCCTAACGAAATTTATTTTTGCGTGTCACAGTCGAGCGTGTCCAAGTTTGCAATGAGACTCACGTCTAAGGCGATAGAAATGTGGTCAGGGGTGTGCAAACAAAGGAGGACGGGGCGAAAAAAAAGAGAAATGTACCGTTTGCTGCGCCTGGCTGACTCCCGTCTTTGCATTTTTAGTCAAACGAACAAACAAAAACGCCCATAAACCGTAAACACGATCTGTTGCACGCATGTGCCGGGCCGAGCAGTGGGCGCCGGGCACTCAACAGTTGCGCATGCTAATTTGAGCAGGTGAATCGATCAACAGCAGAGACGAGCGGGCGCTATGTTAAGTAATTATTTACGTGCGTCGTGTAGTCAATCTGTCAATCGTTCACTGAGCCAGGCCAACCATGACGACATTTCACTCTCCATCTCTGCCTTTCACACTCTTCCTTTTGCTCTCTTCTTCTTCTTCTACACGTCTTAACTTTTTTGTCAACACTTTGGCGCTCTTCCGCAGTGCCGGCCAGATCAATCGAAGCTTTCAAGCTTGACTGACTACGAGTGAGCGAGACAGTGCGATAACAGTACATGTGCTTTCACTTTCGTTCAAGCTTCGCTGTAGCCCTGGCCACTTTAATTGTTTCTTTTACAAGCAACACACATGCAAATGTACGTGTGTGTGCCATTGTGTGTGTGCCTGTCTGTACATGCATTATTGATCAGCGACTACTTTGCATGCTGTGCTACTTTATGGTTTATTTGCTTCTCTCGCGCTCAATTTGTTTGTTACCTCACAATATGACCGCAGCGGACATGTTACTTAATTAAAGTGATGAATACAACACAAAGGCACATTAATAAACTAACCACATCAATACGCACACACACACACTTTATGCAGTTGCCATGCGACGTACATTAACACACACGCACTATTCTGCCAGAGGCAATGTTTAGAATGAATTATTTCCAATTTGAGTGGCTAACAGGCGTAAATTGAATAAAATCGGATGGTCGTTTATTATTGCATTTGTAGACCCATATGTCTGTATATATATGTATGTAATTATTCTGTGCGTTAGAATGAAGCACTTAGTATCCATATCCATTATTTGCGTGGAGCGGCACGTAGCATTGCAGGAGAGCAAAAGCCGTGGCAATAATTGAGAACAAACTCAAATACAATTTGAAATTCCCTGGAAATGCGTCTAAATTCGTTTTGCAATATTCCATTGTATCACATTATTAAGAGGCGTAGTCCGAATGCAGGCTGAGCCAAAAGATGATGGGCAGCGGGACTGAACAGTGAATAGACAAAACAAACACAGCGAAAGAGGGAAGAGCGCGCAAGAGAGAGGAGTGTAGCTGTTCAAGGTTGCCACCTACTTAAAGTATTTCAGTCTGGACACTGGACTAAGCCACACACTTTGCATCATTCACAGTTGTCGTTTTTGGTCAACTTGTTGCGTTTTATCTGCGCTATGTAAATAAATAAAGCGCCAATTCATAATATTGACCTGGCGTGTGTTTCAAAATTAGCCTCCAGCTATGTAGCATAATCAACTAACTGGCTGGCTACTCTGTGGCTTTCGACAAACTTGTTTCTCTGTCAGTTTGCAGACACACAAACACGAACACTCACACACACATATATATATATTTATATACAGCATCAGCTGGAGATAAGTTGTGCGATTTTATCATTCGCACTTGTTTATTTGCCCGTTTGTTTACACAACGCCTTCAATGAGCTTAGGTTCTATACTATACATATCATTACATGTATTTAGTGTGTACCTAAAAAGAAAGAATAATTTTTTACCTAATATCGAATATTAAATGCCGTAAGTTGAAAGTATGTCTATTGAAGAACTCATCTAGAATTAGTAGACCTTTTAAATATGCATATGTATGTTATGTATGTATACATATGTATGTTCATGCATATACATAAATGTATTTGTAAATGCATATGTTTATTTTTAGTTACTTCCCCATATGCAAGCACACACATAGTTTATTTATGTGTAGAGCATTCAAATGTTTTAATTAGAATAAAAAGAACAATTGCAATAGCTCACGTACAGTTTCTGCAGCTGCAATTGAGATTACAATTCTTTCTCCCACTTTCCAGTCCAGCAAAACAAACAGCAATTTGCAAGGACACACAGAACACACACACGCACACACACATACACCCACGTTTAACATTCATAAATCCAAAGGCGTGTGTGTGTATGCAAATCTGTAACCTGCTGCCAATTATGAAGGCAAACAAAAACAGAAATCTGTGCACAAATTTCGAGGCCAAAGATGTTAGCTCCAATAACCTCCCCTGTTTTGCTACCGGCCAGACTGGAGACAACCTTTCAAGAGGTCTTCAGGTAATTTTGCTTGGCATTGAGTGCACAATAGAAGTTTAGTTACATATACGGAATATATACAGCTGTGTTCATGGAAATATTATTGTGGCTGAACATTGAATGTTGGACAGCAAAATGTGATAAATACAATATATAAACTTTGTGGAGTGCGGTGTTAATAAGCATGCAAACAAATGTACATATATGGAACAGAGGCATATAACGGCATATATAATCAATAACAAATTAAAGGAATGCACATCCAATAGATTAAATCACATACATTATAATCATAACAATGCTGTTCGTTTCAATTTATTTCCAGTCAATTCCAACTAACACAATAATAATTATTTATAAATAACAAATTTGTTATCTTAGGCTAAAATCTATGGAATGCTACACATACATAAGCATCTTCTTGTTCTTTATCTCTATTCTCTATCTTTCTTCTTTATCTCAGTGGCTATCAGCAGCAACCTCAATGTCAGAGAGATGATTCAATTTGTTGCTTTTCCCTGTTTCAATTCATTTAAGTCTAATTAAAACAGAGCTCTGTGTTTG